AACTGCACCTCACACACACACACACACACACACACACACACACACACACACACACACACACACACACACACACACACACACACACACACACGATGGCAGAATCACACATTTTGTGCAGCAATGTTAAAAATGTCAGTCTCTTTCAACTTTACTTCCTCCCAGCACACTTGTGCTGGTTCAGCTTGTACTTACGAGAAAATCTTTGATCACACACGCTGCAACTGAACAATTTCTCACCCGTGTGCATTCTCATGTGTCGAATTTGTGAGGAGCGATCGGAAAAACATTTCCTGCAACTTGAGCAGGAAAATGGTTTCTCCCCAGTGTGCGTTCTCATGTGGGTTATTAAACTAGCCTTTTGATTTACTCTGAGACCGCACACCGAGCAGGCAAAAGGTTTCTCCCCAGTATGTATTAACATGTGCTTCACCATATTTGATCGTACTGAGAATCGCTGACCACATACTGCACACGCAAATGGCCTCTCACCGGTGTGTGTTCTCATGTGCGCTGTCAAAGTTCCTCTGTACTCAAATTCTTTAAAACACACTGTGCAGGACAATGGCTTCTCTCCAGTATGACTTCTCATGTGTCCTTTCAAATCAGTCTGGTTAGGGAAATTGGTGTCATATTCATGACATGTCCAGTCATTATCACTGTGAGTTCTCATGTGTCTTTTGAAAGAAGATTTGTCACACTGAGGACATGCCAAAACTTGGTTGTCAATGTGATATGTGGTACCACCTTGAGAATGTTCATGACCAATGTCAGACATGTCGCCACGATTTGAGAGTGGAGGTAGCCAACTTTCTGCCTGGGATCCTCCACGGTGGTCTCCATCAACTTCCGTTTTCAAGTGGTGACTTGAGCTGCTGCTCGGAGACTCCTGCACTCTGTTCTCACCTTTGGCTTCAACCTCACTCGTCAAAGGGACATATATCAATGGCAACTTGATGATATCCTCCTCCTTCTCTTCCTTTTTAATGTTGAGATGTTCTCGCTCTTGCTGGCCCACCCAGGAGCTCCACTCCTGCTGCTCAGAATGAAGATTTTCTTCACTGATGTCTGCAGGGCATGAGAAGCCAAACACAGATGGTTTGGAAAAGTCATTCAAGTTTGTTTAATTCATTGTTATTTAACGGCATTCGCAAACTGAATTTGTGAATTTCTGCCATCTGGAATGGTAACTGCTTTAGCTTACAGACAAAGCAGTTCATTAACATTAATTGTACAATCCATTGTTTTTGTTTCATTTACTACAACATCTATACTGTTCAAGGTCACAGCATATCCTGGGTGACATCAGGCAAAAAGCAGACTACACCCAGGACAGGTCGCCAGTCAATCACAGGGCACAGTGAGATACAAACATCCACTCCCATTGAAACTGTCACTTAGTTGGAATTAGTGGAGGCTGGCGTGACCGCAGTCCCTGGGTACACCAAACACAACGCCCAAATATTTCGAGTTAAACTCACCTCGCTTCACAAGATGCTGCCTTTTGGTTCAATAAATTCTGAGGTAATTCAATATGATCCTTGTGTCAGAGCGTTCAAATTGATTAAGGAATCGATTACGATGCATGGTATCGAAAGCTTTCCTTGCTTTTCCGATTGAACAAGGGCAAAAGAAAACCGCCCAAAGTAAGAATCGTGTCGGAACGTTCAATGAATAGCGTTATTAAGATATGAAGTTAATAAACACACCTGTTACGTGTAACACGTTTTGCTTGTTGACAACAGCGTCCAACAGTTGACGTTGTCGCTCGTTCTCCTCTCTTGTTCGACAAAGTTCCTCCTCGTACTCTGCTATCGTCCTTGCAAAAACTCCAACTACCTCCTCGACAGCTGCATTTAGGCGCTGATTCAGCAATGCTCTCAGTATTTCTACTTTACACATTTTCAAACGATAAACCCAGCACTTTTACGCTCAAAACGGAGCTCTGTTTATTATCCACGTCTTCGTTTGCAGCTATGACGGAAAAAGAGGACACAAGATGGCGCCGTGAGGTGCATCAGAAAAAAAGCGAGCATTTACTCCTGCCGCGACATATATTCGCGGTCATAAATTTTACACAAGAGCGGTGATCACGTATGACGGAGCTGACATCTTTAAACCTGGAGTCCTCGGCTAATCCGGAACATCTGTTGCAAACCGTATGTTTTTTCATGTCGTGTAGAACAGTACAATTAATATTTTTTTTCTATTCTGACCTGGGCCTCTTTCGTATGTAGATATACATCGGATATGTATGTGATGTCAAACAAAGGATTTATTTATTACATGCGGCAATTAACTGACGGTATATTTAGGAGACATTTGCGTTACGTCATCATTAGTAGACGTCTCCATGATATAAAAAGATCGAAAAACGTCTTTCCCCCAAATATTTCTACTTCCTCCCACAGCACTCCTCTGTTGATATAAAATAATAAAAAGAGGGGACCCCTACAAGCTGGACCATATTTACTTCCGTAAAAAACATGCAGCGTCCCTGGATCGACGTCGTGCTTTGTGCGCATGCGTGGCACGTCAAAGGGCGCCCTCGTTTCACATGAGAAGTCGTGTTTGTTTTGTAATGTGAACGAGTACATAAAAAAAATCGGATTTTACAAAAAATACGAATTGGGCATCACGCCCTGCAAGGTGAACGCAGCTTTGTTATAAAAGTTAGCCATATGAGACAAGGTCTTACAGGCAGCGATGTTCCAATCGAGATGGAAACGTTGCACCCTAAAAGCATAGTCATGCTCAAAACATTTTAAAACTATGTATGCGTCAGCATAACAAAATTGCACCAAGCAACACTTAAAATATAGCTTTATCACCAACCGTTTTCAAGCGACTACCTTTTCAAATAGCGATGTCAAAACTGAATATTTTATTGAACAACTGACGCCTAATGGGTTGTTAATATGCATAATCTTTTTTGGTATGACTTACGCCTTGCATTGCCTTCACACTGACATGTGCAAGTCACACCGTACGCCCCCCCAAAATATGTGTTGTCTTGTTTAGTATGCCTATATCTTGGCAAAATAAACAGGAGGAGTGGTCTTGATTTGAGGAGTGATCTTTCTGTCATTTAATTCCGTGGAAGAGCAGAGGGTGGACAGAGCAGCTTGCAGGGTGCAATACACAGTCTCATCAGCAGAAGAGCAATTACAGGAGATCCTTGATCAATACAGAATCTGTTTAGTTACAGAAAATGTGTTCAAGAATGCCATTGAGAGATGGACCACATGCTGTTTCACCAAATCTTAATACAAATACAGGCAATTATTATCTGATGATGTGCAACAGTCAGTTAGTGTTGTGCTGCTATCTAAAGTGTTACCAATGCTACAAATTCCTTCTGTGGAGAATAAAGATGATTCTACTAAATCAGAAACTTGTCATGTAATCAACAAAATCAATTATCAAGCAAATCATGTAATGTTCTGACAATTACTGTATCGTATCGTAGTAGACTTTGAAGACTAGTTTCATCGAGGATCATTTATAAATTGTTTTTCCAAGTGACCACTCAAACTTTCTCAGCTTTTTAGTTTCTTCATAAGACAAATTCTGCAGCTTCATGTACTGTTGCTCTTCTCCCCGGGACACTGGTGTTTTTTCATTTGATACTTGTAAGAGAACCTTTGATCACACACACTGCAACTGAACACTTTCTCACCAGTGTGTATTCTCGTGTGTTGAACTAATGAAGACCGATCAGCGAAACTTGTGCTGCAGACGGAGCACGCAAAAGGTTTCTCTCCAGTGTGTGTCCTAGTGTGTGTTCTTAAATGTGCCCTCTGGGCAAATCTTTTATTACAAACTGAGCAGGAAAAAGGTTTCTCCCCAGTGTGCGTTCTCATGTGTAGAACCAACGTGGAACGATCACCAAAACCTAAGTTGCAGACTGCGCAGGCAAAAGGTTTTTCTCCCGTATGTGTTCTTGAGTGTGTGTTCAACTGTCCCTTCTGAGTGAATTTTTTACCACAGACTGTACAGGAAAAAGGTTTCTCCCCAGTATGTGTTCTTATGTGTTGAACCAATGATGAACGATCAACAAAACTTAAGTCACAGACTGAGCATACAAAAGATTTCTCGCCAGTGTGTATTCTTGTGTGCGTTATCAAATTTCCCTTTATAGAGAAACTTTTACCACACACTGAGCAGGAAAAAGGTTTCTCTCCTGTGTGCGTTCTGGTGTGTGTTACCAAATGTTCCTTTTGAGTAAATCCTTTACCACAGACTGAACAAGAAAAAGGTTTCTCCCCAGAGTGTGTTCTTGTGTGTCTTGTCACCGCACCTCTTTGAGAGAATATTTGACCACAAACTGAGCAAGAAAAGGGCTTTTCCCCCGTATGCTTTCTCATATGTTGAACAAAACGCGAATGAACACTAAAACGTGTGTGGCAGACTGAACAAGCAAAAGGTTTCCCTTTAGCGTGTTTGTCATCATCGGTGTCATAAGTGTGTGAAATTATGTCGTCACTCTCTGATAGTGGAGCGAAAAGGCTGTCTGCTTGTGATCGTCCACAGTGGTCTCCATCACCTTCCCTTGTCACGTATTGACTTGAACTGCTGCTTGGAGGCTCCTCCCTTCTGTTCTCCTCACTTTCACTGGGATGAAGCATTGACCACTGACCTTGGTCCTCTTCATCTTCACTTTTCACAATGACACGAGTCCATGGAAATGTGGTAATATCATCCTCCTCTTCTTCCTCTTTAATGGTGAGGTGCTCTTCCTCCTCGTCCTCTTTATTAGGTGAAGGCGGTGGCTCTTCTTCATCTTTCATGAGAGGGTCCTTTTGCTCTTCCTCTTTCACCTTTGGGGGCTCTGGCCCATGCTGCTCCACCCTGAAGTTCCATTCCTGCTGTTCTGGATGAAGACACTCTTTGCTGTCGTCTCCTGGACACAAGAAGACAATCATACATGGTCAAGTCATGTTAATATTTTGGCTCCAAAATCAACACACATAACCGAGAGTAAATGTGAAAAATTTGTCGTCAAACAAAGATGGGTCTCTTTGTAATGGGTAGTTTTGACTCTAATGCATGTATGAAGGATGCACGCTACGGCCCCTTGACAAGGTTTGTCATTTTTTCCCCCTGATGTTTTTGTTTTGTTTTTGTTTTCACTCAACATCAGCGGATGTCTTTAACATTTGTATAATGTGAAGCCTTTGACACTTTTCTGCAATTAAGGGTTATATAAATAAATTGGACTTATCTACTGACACACTTCCCACCACAGGGGTTACTGACGATTCGGTGGACAAAGTGCTTCCATGTATAAAAGTTTGTCATTCATCGTTCGCTAGGAAAACTGGGGTCCATCAGTGACGGACTGACGGACCTTCCCTAGGTACTGACGGAACGCCCACATTTGCTATTCATTCTGAGGGCCCTATTTTGGTTGCCAGGTGCCCGTGCGTTTGGCATAAAATGGGTGCATCTTCACTTTGGAAAAGTTTAGTCTAGTGTGTCTGGGGCCACAATACGACACACTGGGTGTTAGTGTGCCGTCAATTTTTTTCCCTATGTGAAATATGTGTCTTCGATTAATAATGGTTGATAAACACTGAACTAACCTGCTCTGTGTAGCACAACTTGACGTGTCTTCAATATAGCGTCCAGTCGTTGACATTCGTTCTCCTCCTTTGTTCGAGAAAGGTCCTCTTCGTACTCTTCTTTCACACTGTTTACAGACATTTTCAAACGTTACACTCACTTGATGTCTCTTTGTTAGCAGCTAACGAGCTTAGCAAGCAATAGAAACTTCGAAGTCCACCGTGACGAGTTTATCCAAAAGAAAAGGGCACTCCGGTCACTTGCTGAAAAAATGAATCAAAATTGCCGATGCGTGTCGAGTAATCAGCACACAACATTATTCAATGCAACCAGGACTACACGCCAAACGCTAAACAACATCTTGCTAACTTTGCTTTGGATTTACTTCCGGCAGACAAGACGCAGTTGTTTGAGTCGAATATATTACTACCTCCCCTGGTGAGGCGGTGTCATTACACTCTTTAGCCTCTCACGGACACAAACACAACCCCGTACTTTAGAAGGTTTTCAGGTAATTTTTTTATTCCTAAAAAGTATATTAATTTTTTTGCTCCACTATGTAACACTATGTATAGGTTACATGAACACTACCCCGTACTTTAGAAGGTTTTCAGGTAATGGTTTTATTCCTAAAAAGTATATTAATTTTTTTGCTCCCCTATGTAACACTATGTATAGGTTAAACATGAACACTACGCTTTACTGAAATTGTACTGAAATAACGATATTATTAATGCGAGTATTTACTGCATATAAATGTAACATTTAAACAATTACCGAGGAAATGTTTGGGAACCAATATTTCTAAATGATTAAATGCAAATGTATTGTACTTACAAATGCAGTCTGGTACATTACTGAAAAAAAAAAAAAAAAAAAAAAGTTAAGAAGGGCGGCGTTGTGGTAGACTGGTGAGCACGTCCGCCTCACAGTGCATTGTTCCAGGGTTCAAATCTGCTCTCCTGCCTTCCTGTGTGGGAGTTTGCATGTTTTCCCTGTGCCAGCAATTTATTCTTTCTGAGTGCTACGGTTTTGTCCCACATTCCAAAAATATGCGTGGCTGGGTTAATGGCACACTCTAAATTTTCCCTTGGTGTTACTGTGGGTGTGAACGGTTGTTTGTCTTTGTGTGCCCTGTGATTGACTGGCAAACAGTGGAAAATACCACGCCGATGCCCGAAGTCTACTGAGTTAGGACCCAGCACGCCTGCAACCTTCGTGAGGACAAAAGGATTTGAATAATCGATGGCTGGATGAATAAAATTAAGCCACTACTGTTTGCCATCATGCAATTCCAACATTTCAATGATTCTTTCACATATCCCTGCAGGGAACCCATGAACTACACTTTGAGCATCACTGTATTAGCTATTCATTCATTCATTTTCCATCCCACTTATCTGCACTCTGGTCGCAGGTGTGCTGGAGCCTATCCCAGCTGTCTTTGAGCAAGAGGTGGGTCGCCAGCTGATTGCAGAGCACATTAGTTAATCAAGCATTCTGTTGCCAAGTTACCAAAATGGGTATCGCATATAAATAACAGTAAAGATACCTTTTCATTATTTCAGTCTGTACTTTTGTGAGTATGTTTGCTGCTTTTGCACCACAGTGTGTTCTTTAAGAGTGTATGAATGAGGGCAATTCTAGTTTGTTTAAAATACTGAAGCATGTGTTTCTGTTGTCTAAGAAGACACAAATATTGCCCTTAATTAAAATATGAAGACTGGATATGTTTGATAATGTTTTATTCAAACTGTTCATTTGACAATAATCATGGACTGATATTTTAAGCACGAATGAGTAGCATCCATAGGTTCCCTGAAAGGTGCCATAATAAGTTACAAATACTGTACACCGCAAATCCAGCAGTGCATCTCATTTGAATTGGTCATAAACAGTGTTTGCTACAAGTGAAAGTCAATATTCACTTTATTTAAAGTTCTG